ATTGTTTCTCCAAATTTTACTAAACATTCTATTTGTATTTTAAGCAAAGGATCTTTAAGCCAACTATCTAATAATTCCTATTTTGAAATATATTGTTTTGGTGAATTTTTAAAAGTTTTAAGTTTTTTTATAAACCATTTTGTAAATATTTCTATTAATTCATATCTTTCAATAAATTGTCTTGCTACATATAATTCATATAACTAATGCTATCTAAGAGGTTTTGAAATTTAGTATATTGAAATCCAAGAAGTTTTGATATATATTTGATATAAAAGAAGCTTTTATACTCATTGGATTTTTTTTTTTTACTTTCATCATATCCATTATGAAGTTGCCAAATTAAATGAAGTAAATTAAATAGATGTTTTTAATTAGAATATCCAGTATTAATATCTAACTTACCAAATACAGAATTTTCAAAATGAGTTATTATAATATGTGCTGAATGCATACCGCATGATATTCTAAATAAATTTGATAATGTTTTATTATTAAATAATACAACAGCTCTACTTTTATAACCTGACATATATTCAGTATTATCAGTTATCCAAGTAAAGCATTTTTTAGGATCTATTTTATAAGTATTACAAGTTTTAGCAACTATATTAGCAATAGTAGATCCACTACAATTTGATAAATCTTTCATTTCTAACAATGTTGCTTATGGAATATTTGTATTTAAATTCTAATAAATAAAACATATTATAAAAATTTTGCTATCACCTCTTTTAGATTCATTAGCCATTATTCTATAAACTGAAAATTTAGAATTTCCAATTATATTAGATTGTTGATTAGAATAAATTTTTACAACATCTCTATGCTATTCAGTAAGAGTACTTACTGAAAACCATTTATTAGGCTCTTCATCAATAAGCCATTCAACTACTGCTTTAGTGTATTCTACAGCAGATCTATATGATATTTTACCAATTTGACAAACTTTTGTTGCTATTTGTATTGTTTTTGCTATATATTGATATTTATTTTCTATTAATTGTTGTTTAATTGCAGTTTTTAATTTTTCTTTAGTATAACTTTTAGTTTTAGATATTTGCTGCTTTTGAATTTGTTTAAACTTACCAATTTTACCATTTAATGATTTATTTTCACTTTTAATTTTATCTAATTGATGAGTTAAACTATTTATTTGATCTTCTAAAGATTTTATTGCAATACTACATTTATTAATATCATGTTCTGTTTGATAAAATAAATTTTTTACATGATTTGCTGCTTTTTGTTGTAAATATTTTGAAAAAATCTTACCAGTATTTTGATCTTTTTTATATTACATAGTTTGTATTAAAGAAAAAGCTAATACTAATTCATTATAATCTGTTTGTATAATATAATTTAAAAATATTTGTAGTAATTTTGAATTATACTTTTGGTTATAAGTAAGTATTTGAGTAATTTGATTAAATAAATTAAGTAATTGAACTTTTGAATTTAGTTTATTTGTTTGAATTTCATCAGATTGTATAGTAATAACTTCAGTTTGGGTAACAACTATATTAACAAAAAATTCAGTTTGTGTAGCAACTGTATTAACAATATTTTCAGTTTGAGTAGCAACTGTATTAATAGTAAATTCAGTTTGTGTGACAATTGTATTAACAATATTTTCAGTTTGAGTAGCAATTGGTGTGTTAATAGTTGCAGAATCTATAGTGTTTGTATCAATAATAGATAAAGAAGGTATATTAGAATCTTCATTATTAATTTTTTTATTAGCACTACGGGCTTTTTTTAAATGATTTCGCTGACTATAATGTTTAACTTGTTTAATTCTTTTTGGCATGTTTATTTTAAAAAGTATAAGAATAAAAAATCGAAATTATTTTTAATTAATATAAAAATTTTATTGATTTAAATAATAATTGGTTTATCTCAGTCACTGATACCGAAAATCCCAATGCTTAAAATCCAAAAAGCAATTTTTATCACTATCGGGTTTTATTTTCTGGATTTTGAGCATCGGAATTTTAAGTATCAGATTCTGAGTCAGCCCCAAAAATTACCATTAGAAAATCCGCAATTAGTGATGATCATTAGTAACCCTAACTATATGATTTTAATAGGCCGTTGAACACCCTAACTTTACGTATTCCATCAGCACCACCCATATCTGCTACTTTTTTATAATATTCAAAGCATTTGTTTCATCCTTTTCAACTCCGGTTCTAAATTGATAACAATAACCAACATTATAAATTGCAACTGCATTTCCTAATTCTGCAGCTTTCATATAATATTTAAAAGCTTCTTTCTCATCTTTCTCAACTCCGATTTCATGTTGATAATCATAACCGAGTTTACGAAGTTCTTTAGAATCCATTTTTTTAAACATGAAAACAAAACGTCCGAAAAGCAATATTAGTTACATTGCTTTTTAATATTTATTAACCAGGATTAATTCAAGTTGTACCACGTAGTGAAAATACCATACATTATTTGTTTGCCGATCTTTTACTATATGCGTAATCTTGTGCTCGAATTCGTTGGATTTTTAGCATGGTTGCTGACAATACCGATACTATATATTCCTTAATGTTAATGTTAACGTTTATAAAAAATGTTTGATTAATATTGAGTCTCTACATTTTCTATATATGAAACTAAAAAAAAAATTTTCGTGTGATGCAAACATTCGGCCGCCACTGTAATAATAAATGAAATTTCCTTACTACAAAATCCACTTATTATAAAAATATATCCAAATGTGATAGAGTGGCCAAGTATTGCACTATTAAATAGAAGGTACTTCGACTGGTACTAAAACGCGTTTACATTGTGCATTGCACCTTCAACCAATCACAACATTATTTTGTATGTAAATAGTGTTATATTTTCAGGTAATATTGTGTCAGGAAAGCTTTGAACAAAGAATTCGCTTTAACATCAAAAAAGTCTACTGTTGATTTTTTTTGCAGTAAGATATGTTATTATGATTTATTTATTATCATTCAAAGACGTATAACATAATTACATAATAGTACGTTTAAAAAGATGAAACGAAACAATTGAACAAAAAACGAGATTGTTGTAGCATTAACTTGATATAAACTCATTTAAATCTGTTACACGACGACAAACAATTTTAACTCTTGCTAACGCTAAATACACACTCAAATCCTGGCCTAAACATAAATTCTAATTTTTACATTAATGTTATCGTTATTTATACAGTTTTTATGTCATTTTAGAAAAATAAACAACACATAATAAAATAAAAAGAGCATTATAGAAATTTATTGGAGTTATAGGACATTATAGCTAAAAAAAGATCTTTTACCCTCATCAGTTTGAAAAAGCTAACTTGCTTCTGAAAAATTAACTTTTTTAAACAGATGAGGGTTGAAGATCTCTTTTTAACTATGGGTCCTACTGTACAACTTTTATAAACCTTTATACATTACTGGTTTCTCTTTATTTTCTTTAGTTTTTATTTTTTTAAAAAAAAATAGTTCTCCTTAATTACATCAAATTTCTAAATACCATTAATCAGATTTATTCGATTATTAAATCATACATTTTACTATCGATTTGATCTGTATTTATTAATTTACTAGAATAATAATCATTCGAATGTTTTGGTTCGACCGGTTCTGGTTTAGCTTTATCAGCTTCTAAAATTTGTTTTTTAATCTCGTTTTCATCTTCATCATCATCTTGATCCATTTCGTCTAACCAATGGCCCACTTTGTTAACAATTATAGTAGCAGATGGTCGTTTAACAGGATCATTATGCATGCATCTATTAGCTAATTTGACATAAAATTTCGGTGCATAAATACATTCAGGCCTTGTTCCACCAATAATCTTAGTTTGAAGATCAATATTAAAGGGAATTCCATCAAAAGCTCTTCTTCCAGTTGATAATTCTGTCATGATGATACCGAGACTGTAAATATCTGATGATTTATTGACCCATCAGAACTTCAGGTGCTATATAAGGCATAACTCCATAAATCTTTCCATCCTCTTTTTCTCCAGACAGGCCAAGATCTGTGACGTAAGCACTATCTAGTTCACATTGTAAAATGTTTCCAGTGTGTAGATCTCCATGAATAAGCTCCTGAGAATGAATTGATTCGAGATCCGAAACTATACAGTACAAAATATTCAGCTTGTCTTTCCAACTCATCTTTGATACTTGCTCAAGATTCTGACGTAATGATCCCTTGCTCGCGTATTTCATTACGATAGTATAATTATTATTTTTT